GTGCTACGCGTGTGTGTGTGTGTGTGTGTGTGCGCGGGGAATTAAATGTCAGGAGGGAAAAAACACACAGACACAATTAATCGTCGATTCCCCAGAAAATATTGGAAAATACGGCAGTGGGGGGGGAAACAGAAACCCAGAACATATGGGAACATATGGGGGATAGTTTTATTTGTGTGTATTTATTTGTGTGTCCCGGGGCCCCTTCGTGTGTGTGTGTGTGTTTGTGCGCGGAAAATTAATGGTGGTTGGGGGGCTTGTGGGGTTACCAGCGATGACGATGCCGCTCATCATGGTGACGTTGCTGATGCCGCTGCTGATGGGGCGTATAATGCGGGGGTGGGGCGGGCAATGACTATACTGTACAGTGGTGGGGTAGGTGGGTCGCAGAAGGTTGGAGGGGGGCGTAGTGAACGAGGAAAAGGGGGGTATGATGGGGGACGGTGGTTAATGATTGAAAACGTGGTTGGTTTTTCATTGCCTCTTGCGATAACGCGGGTTACATCCGCCAAAACCCCTCCCGTAACGGTAACGCCCGGAAGCTAGCCACAGGCGCGAATGTTTGCAACGTCCACATGACCTTTCAGTTCTTGCTGCCCCTAACCTGATCTTTCAAATCCATCCATTGGGGTGCGAGGAGGATGGGAAGGAGGGGAAGGAGGAGGAAGAGGAGGAGGAGGGATAGGATGATGATGGTGAGGAAGAGGAACAATATTAATCATACTAATCGTAGTAAGATGAATTCAACATCATACTACTCATAGAAGAACAAACTACTACTAATAATAGACATCGGGATGCTAATACTAATGCGAAACAAACTAATATGATTACTAAGAACATGCGAAGTGTAATAAGAAGAACGGTACGAATACTAGTAACCTGAATAAGACTAAGAAGGCGACTACTATTCATATCAGTGATAATGCCAGAATAGTCATACGAACTGTATTAAGGATACCAATCATAAGAATGATGCTACATATAATAGTAGTACTATCAGTCGTAATAGTGATACTACAACATAGTAGTACGAAACAACTACTACTATCCAGAAGAAGAGTCGTAGTAATGAGAGTACTACCCAGAAACATGAGAACGATAACACTGATACGAATACACGTAGCCATGCTAATCATAATGATGATACTGATATGACGACGAACAATAATATGGATAATCATAACATTAATGCTATTAATTTTAATTAATAATAACAAAATAGGAGGAGGCGGAGTAGGAGGAGGCGGAGGAGGAGGACGAGGAGGAGGAGGCGGAGGAGGGGGGTGGAGGAGGAGGAGGAGGAGCAGGAGGAGGAGGAGGAGGACGAGGAGGACGCCTGGGCGGTCAATCTATGCGACACGGCAGCACTCCTAAAACATGTATGCAATCCGACGGCGGCGCCCAGCAGTATCAGGCCCGCGCTACCGACAGACAATCACAGCACAAGCGAGGAGGACACGCCGACAACCACCGACTCGACGAACGACAGACCAGCAGTACCGCCTGCACCGCCACCGCCCACACACATCCCACCTGCCAAAAAACCACCCCAGCTTAAAGCTACACACGCCATCATCAGCAACACTATCGGAAGCACACCTGCCGTACCACACACAAAGGCCATCACCACATTGTCACTTGCAACGAGGGTCTCCATACCCACGCACCCACCATCTCCGACACTCAAGATACTCATTGTTTGCCCGCCCTACGAGGACGTTCTGACTCAGCATTGGCTACAAGAAGTACCCACGCAACGCCTTGCACTACATACCTACGCAACCCTACAAACTTATTTCCTTTCTCAGGTACGTGCGGAATCCCCGATACACACTATACACGTGCAGCACAGCGGGACCGACAGCCGCGGACGCATCTTCGAGCACGGCACAGGGGACCCATTTGTCCACGAGTGCATCAACACATTACGCTCTTTCCAAGCACGAGACGAGCAGCACCTTGCCAGCATTCGCACTCGCAGCAGCCAGCAATACGTATCTTTCAAGGAAGCACCGTCGCACAAGGCACAACCACACATCTTCAAAGCACCACCAAAGCCCAAGCTGCAGCATACCAGCACGCACGGCAGCAACAACCGCACATGGCTGATCACACCGGGAGAGCTACGCGTGCCACAGCAGTAGTCTGCGGCAGGATTACCACGACAACGACCACAAGCACCACCTGTTCATCGATTACCGCAGAACATCGATTACTGACCTACCCTCCCCCTTACTCTCTTCAGCAGGCCGAGGGGCCAGCGACAAGGAGGACCGTGCTAGCCATTCTCTGCCTTGGCAATACTGCTTGCGTCGAAGCTGGATCTGATTCCAACATGTCTTCCCTCCCAAGATAGGCTAAGGTGACTTGCCACTGGCACGGCTGTAGGGGAGTGCCCTGACATTCCCACTGTGGGCTACCGACCACACTTAACTTTGCATACGCTGCTTCCTCTCCTGTCCTCCTACAGCATCCCTCTTCCCACACTACTACATCTGACACCCTCTTGACAATTCCATTCCACGCTGTGCTCCCACTGGGGGCACTTGGAGCCCTGTCCCTTTCTACCCTGACAGTGCTAGATGTACGCAGATGGGCGTGGGGTGGATTGCAGTGGGTTGGTTGTTGAGGTTCGGGGGAGAGATCTTACGCTTGCGTCAGCACTTCTGGCGGCGCAGCGCCACGTTTTTTTTTTTTTTTTTTTTTTTTTTTGTGTGTGTGTGTGTGCGTTTTTCCTCGCAACGCACGCTCCCTGTACGCCTGCTTGCTGAGGCCACTGTTTACACAGTTTACGCTCACGCACCAGGCATGCCACATCCAGCGAGCGACAGGTCGCATCGTGCCCAGGTATTGCTACATCTAAAATCAGCACAGTGCATACGCCATCTTTTGCTGCTCAGCCGACATCCGGTGGTTCGGGTCATACCCAAACGCCTTGGGCAGCATCTCAAGAACTGCTACTTCTTGTGTTGACGTCATCGTTTCTTGTTTGTTGCCAGCCGCACTTTGCATCGGCGAAGGGTCTCTATGGTTGGGCAGGGTGGGTTGGGTTTTGATACAGCCAAGCGCTGAAGTACTATCACATATTTGAGTTGCTCGCAGTCTGCCTGTATTTGTAGATGCCTCGCCTATTTCTGCTAGAACCAGTGTACAGGCCAGCCTTGCGGCCAGCCTCTCCAGGGACCAAGGTGGTTAGGGATAAACCCAAACAGCCCTGGGCAGCAATCCAAGAACTGCTACATTTTGTATTGCCACAAGGCTTTTTACTACCAACCACATCGACGCAGCGCTGTGGCTAGGGATGCATCCCCCAAAACCATGGGCAGCACCCCGATAACTGCTACCTTGTGCTTGGCGTTGCTGCTTTTCTGCTGCCAGCCGTCCTATGCATCAGGGACAGGTTTCGATGGATAGGCAGGTTCTGGGAGGGGCTCTGGAGGACATCAGCAACGAGTGTAGTACTCGCGCGTTTCAGCCTCACCGCAGACACGCCAGCGAGACAGTCCAGCCTAACACTTCTGACATGCCGCGGTTGCCTGCGTCAGCAATTTGCAGCAACCCCAGGCTTGCATTCACATAACCTTGCTGCCCATTACCAATCTAAGCAACACAATGCATACGGCATCTCTTGCCGCAGAGTCCACATCCAGTGGTTCGGGGTATACCCAAACACCCCGGGCAGCATCCCAGGAACTGCTACAGCTTGTACTGGACGTCGCTGCTTTTGATTGCTGTTAACCGTGCTATACATCGGGCATGGGTCTGTATGGCTGTGCTGTGGTAGGGCAGGTTACGGGTGGGATTCTGGTACGCATTCCAGCACATAGTGTACACGTGTGCTACAGCCCCACCGCCGACAGGCCAGCCAGGCAGGCCAGTCTTAACACTTCTGAGATGCCGCGGTTGCCTGCACATGCAAATAGAAGCAGCCCCAGACTTGCGTTCACCTTACCTTGCTGTTCCTTACCAACTAGGTAGCACGTACCACTGTATCTAATGGGGTCTAAATTCAGTATGGACTTGGCGGGCGCCTTTTTCCACGCCCATCGCCGCCTTAGCTTCTGGTTGTTTTGTTCCTGCGGCGCCCGCCAGGTGCATTGTAAGCCTGGTCGTGTACACGTTCAGTTTTTCACAGTCATTACCGCCACAGGTTATGACCTAAGGTTTGCCGAACGAGAAAAAGGAAGAGGAAGCTGATGAAGATGAGGAAAGGAACGAGGAGGAAAAGGACGAGGAGGAGGAGGAAGAGGAGTAGGAGGAGGATGATGATGAGGAGGAGGAGGGAGAGGAGGAGGAGGAGGAGGAGGAGGAGGAGGAGGAGGAGGAGAGGAGGAGGAGGATGAATGGACACAATAATCATGACACTAAGGTCATGACTCATCTTAAGAATACGAAGGCTATACCCATACTACTAGCACTACATGGTTGTTATAACAGGATGTAAAAGAACACCAATACTAGTCAGACGGCGAATACGACACATACTACGAACCACATTGATAACAAGCCTGCTGTCACTACGAGCACTAACATTCAGGAGGCGCCGAACCACATACGACGAAGCCAACGACCGAAATTAAACACACGGATACTGTTATTACTAATATTAGCAACACAGAATTGTAACACCAGTAACAAAGCACACTCATCCCAGTCTAATGGTAATACTCAGGCTTGTACGCACGATACTAGGAATAGTA